AACCATGTGAATTTGGGCCATGGCTCACGTACAGGGAAAGGTAGATGTGCTTTGATGGTCATTTCACTTGTGAAACTTATTCAGCCAAATATGAGGCTGTTTCTTTAAATTTTGTGCTGATTTCCTCCAACTGTTAAGAGAAGGACCTAGAAGACCCAGAGAGGCTAGAAGCCTGGGCCCACGGTACTGGGCTCAGCTGGCACAGCAGGGCAGGGGCCTCAGATGGCTGCCCATTTTGTGTTTTTCCTCTCCCCCTCTTTCAAGGACCAGGTGAAACTCAGGGTCTAGGGTCTGCATGCCAAGAAATCCACTGTTCTCATGTGAAGGTTCTTGAACCAGCGTAATTTTCTGCTCAAATTTTAAAGAGCTGTGAGGGTTTAGGAAGGAAGCTTGTCTATGAGCTAAAAATGAAATACCTAGCAGAAGCCAAGCTGCTGTTTGGACTGAGAATCCCCGAGGGTGAAGTTTCTGCTTCCACAAGAGCTTCCTGAGTGTTCACACAGCTGGCTTAACACCCACTGGGCCTTCTATCAAGTGTTTGCTTAGCCTGGCTAGAAACACACCCCAAGAGACTAACCTGGCAGGAGGCAGGCCCCAGTCGAAGGTGAGCAGAGCACAGGGGAATTCCCATCTTCTGCCTAGTGTCACTTCTCTTCCACTGTGAAGCCAGACATCACTGATTCTGAAAGGCTGCCTCTACAGCCCCCAGCACTGGGTGAGGAGGTTGGTCATCTCCTGGCCTGTCACCTGTCCTGTACATTCCTCTGGGGGGGGAGTCTCATAATGTGGGGCTTTACAGTGTGCTCTTCAGTGACCTGTTCCCCTCTCTCTCCCTCAGGGGCTGAGCTTTGTGATGGATAAGGCAGCTTCAGTTCCATTTCTGAATTCTGTGTGCCTCACATGAGGCTTGATATAGAAAGGGTGTGTGTGTGTGTGTGTGTGTGTGTGTGTGTGTGTGTGTTTGTGTGTTAGGAGACAAAGAGAGCAACTGGGAGGAAGAAGCAGAGAGAAAAAGAAAAGAAAGCTGGATGTGGTGGCCTATAATCCCAGTACCTTGGGGGGCGGAAGCTGGAGGATCTCAAACAGAAGCCCAGCTTGGACAATTTTGAGACTAAGCAAGGCTGTGTCTCACAATAAAAGATTAAAAAAAAAAGGTCTGGTGACATAGCTCAGTGCCAGTATTCTAAGATCAATATCCAGTACCATACACAGAGAAAAAGAGAAAGAGTAACAAGGGAAAAGAGAAGGAAAAAGAGGAAAAGCGAAAAAAGAGGCTGCGGCAGAAGCATTGTGCGGTGGCCCTTGGTTGTCCCTCAGTAACCTGGTCTGAGTATTCTCTGATCCACTGGGCATCATTTTGAACTCACATACTCCTGTATCCGACGGCCCTCAGCACACCTGAGTCTTCTCCTTTCTTCAGGAATGCTGTCCATAAAGATGGACATTTGGGTAAGACCAGGGAGTCGCCACTGGATGTCTCAGTCATGGTTTTGCATAGCTCAACTTCTAGGGCCTCAGAGGTTCCTTGCATCTGATAGGTCCTGGGCCTAAGAACATTCTGGAATCTGGAGCTGGCACAGGATCAGCCTTTCCAAGGATGTAGCTGAGTTTCTTCATCTGTTCTTGAGGTCTTCCGATGAGTTATTTCAGGCTGCTTGTGTATTTTGCTCCACAAGCACCATGCGTTATTAGCCATCTCCAAAGGTGGTACCCCACAGTCATCTCCTCCCTGACGCCCTCTCCCAGTAGGGTACATGTGCACACTTCACACCCGACACCCAGGACCGCCCCGGCCTCTGCTCTTCTGCTTGCCCGTTTCCCCTGGCTACCAGGGAGCCCAGTTCTGTGACAGCAGCTCTGAACACAGAGCGTCTCAGGCAGTAGCCTCCTCAGGCAGTAGACTCTTGTTAAAGTCACCTTGGTAGGCAGTGTGTCCTCGGGCCCCCTGCAGAACACGATCAGCTGCTAGGCTTTCCCGTCTTATGTAATGGGCCAATTACAGCATTTCTACTTTCCTAAACCTTTTGATCCCTTCTTTCATAAACTTCCAAGGCAATTTTCAGCATCTCTACTTACTTTAATGAAAGCGATTACTTTTTCCAAATGAGTCAGCAAGTGGCATATATTAGAATCGTTTTCTAGGCTCCCTGCCAAAGTGTTAAATTCTGCATGAGGGAGGAAGAACAGCTCCCTACTGATACACACAGCCAGCTTCCCAGTCCTCTTTTGACCAGCATGCTCCGGGCCCTCTGGGCTCAGCCTTGACAGCCTCCAGTGCACACCCAGCAGTGCTCCCTGCGCCTGGGTGCGTGACCTCTCCTCTTTGTTTGCAGCCTAAGCTTTGCCCCATGCGACTCCGCTCTGTTCATGAACTGGAGACTAACAGATGGAGGTCAGTCCTGAGGAGGGCAAGCATTGTCTTCTGAAGTGTCTGCCTAATGTGAGGATCCCGCATCACCCTAAAGTGGGACATGGAGCACATGTGCTGCAGGAGAAGGTGCTGGTTTTGGTGTTCCAGGGAGTGAAAAGCAATCTGGGTGTTTGAGGTTCTCACCTGCATTAACTGATGAGTCTTTACACCAAGACTAAGCATAGTCAGGTCATGGGGTACTATCCTCAGAAGGGACAGGTGGATCACTTATCATAAGAATGATCTGTTGTGAAACAAGTTCCCTTAGCTGTCTTTCATTCTTTTTTTGATCCCATCTTGGCCATATGACTTCTTCCTCATGGCATTTTGGTGCCATCCACCATGAAACCTTCCCCAGTGCCAAGCGGGTGCTGGTACCATGCCATTGAGCCTCTGGAGCAAGGGGTGAAATAAACCCTCCATTTTTATAAAGTTCCCAGACTCAGGTGTTTTGTTGTAACAACAGTGAATGTATTCATACATCCTTGAATTCTCACACGTTGCTCTAAATAGAGCTGAGTTCCTCCAGCAGCGATGGTTAGCAATATACACATCTCCACTTGATCTTAGCCAAAAGGCCAAGAGGCAATTCCACCAAGTCTCATGCTTCTTAGAATTAGTATTTACCATAAACTCCACAAATATGAATTCCTCACAGGGAAAAATATGAGTAAGTATCTCTGCCCCATCATCTAATAAGTCTAGGGTGGAGAAACATCTCCCATAACTAAGGACCAGGAAGGAATGAGCAAGGCCTAGGTCTATAATGACATGCTCACGCTGGATGTCAAAGTGGTCTATCTTTTCTTGGGTCAGTTTTCAGTTTGGATTCACCCAGGATTCCTGCTCTCTAATTCCAACTGCTGTGGGTCGAATTGGGTCAATTTTCAGTTTGGATTTACCCAGGATTCCTGCTCTCTAATTCCAACTGCTGTGGGTTGAATTTTCTAGAAACATAGCCTGTGGTGAGGAGTTGCATGCAGTGATTCACCCTGAAAGTGTGAAAGGAAAGGCAAGGGCAGAAAGCTAAGCAAAGCTGTTGCCTCAGTTAAAGACCAGACTCTCCAGACTGGTCCTAAGGGTTGAAGCCTCGAGGAATCCCACAAAAGCTTTGAGGAAAGAACTGTTCCTTAGAGTTTTTCTCCTAGTGAAACAAACCTAATACGTCTTGGCATCTGTGTCAGTCATTTGATCAGTCCCACGGGCTTCCTCAGGGCGTGAGGGGCTGGGCAAGGGGCTCTGTAGCCTGGTAGAGAGGATGGCAACTAGGAGGTGCCAGCAGCTCCAGAACCGCATTTCTCCTGAGAGTCACCATTCCTATGCTCTCCCATTGCACTGCAGCCTGGGGGAGGTGCCTCCAGTCTAAGCTCATGCCCTCCTCCTCCAGCTCTGCATGAGCTACACTTAAGGTGCCCACAGCTGCCACCAGCAAAGCCCCCCCCCCCACTGGCCTGTGTCCCTGGAAAGGAGGAGAAGGCCCACAGTACAGGGGCACAGATGTAGGAGAAGAGCTTCACAGCCACTAGGGCCAGCCAGGCCCCCGTGTCCTGGAAGGCCACGTAGAAGCCACACTAGGTAGGAGGGCCAAAACTATGCTCCTTGACATTCAGCTGCAGCCCGGTCCGCTGCCTGCTCCTGTGGAGCCCCCAGCGCACGTGAAGAGGAGGAAGAAGAAGAGGCAGGAAAGCTCTCATCCACTGCAACTGTGTCCACTTTGCTCCAGTGCTGGAGGCGCCACGCAGCGCTGCTACTGGGGCTGCTGGGCTCCTCCGCCTGCTGCTGTGGCCAGAGGTCAGCTGCCCTGGGCCACACAGGGGGCTCAGGGTACCAGTGAAGGGGTGCTGAGTACTGCATTAAAAACAAAATTAATGACAGGCAAAGCAAAGAGGGGGGATGGGGAGATCCCGCATTTCTGGAGAGGGAGTCTGAACCCAACTGGGAACCCAGGGCTCCTCATCTAACTTCTGTACTCTGGGGACCATGGTGGTGTTGCCACAGGTGATGGGGCTCTGGATAGGTTCTTAGGTCCTTGTGTGCAGGGAACAAAGAACCAGGTGTGGCACACAGCGGTAAGAGAAAGGCAGTGGTTTAATGAGGCCACGGGATGCTCAGAGTGAGTGGGCTCCTGCTGGCAGAAAGAAAAACGGCACCAACACTGACTGTGTTGGTTTTACCAATTTAAAATGTTGGCGTCAGGTCTGCAGTGCCTCTCACTGGGGCACGTAGAGTGTAGCTGACAATGTGACCGACAGGACACTGAATGAAGTCAGCAGCAACCACAGCATGTGTCCTTTCCCATGATGCACTCTGTTATAATTGTATTAGGAGATGCCTCCCGTATGCATGCACATTTAATGAGCCCCGAGTGAAGAAAGGCCACTACTACATGTCTTTCAGCAGGATTTGGCACACAGGGCACATCGCTACACTGGGTGTTGGGTCTTAGGACATAGGTGTGGGGTGGGGTGGTGCGAAGACATCTTCCAGAGTCAGGAGAAGAGAGGCAGGCTGACCCATAAGCCAAACGGCACTGTCTGTGTTAGGCGTGGACTAGACAGGGTCCCAGGCAGTTGCCAAGGTGGAGATGGAGAAATGAGGAGAAGGAGTTAGACTCCTCCTTTCAGAAGATGGGTGAGAAAGAGCTATTCCCCTGCCCTGGAGGACCCCGTGCTAAATCTGACCACCCACAGAGTAAGTCGCCACATTTGAGGATTATCCTCAGAGGAGAAAAAAACACCATTCATGACTGCTCAGGAAGAGATAGAAAGATATTTATTAGGCAGAATGTTAGCAGCACACACATAGAAGTGAAAGAGCCAGGCATCAGTGTGTCTTGAAGAACCTTAGGAATTGTTCATTGTAGGCTAAAACTGCTCTTTTCATTAAAAATGTAATTTAAACCTCTAATTTTCCTTGACTTATTTTTGCCTATCTTTATTTTCCTATCCTACCTCAGACTCCCTCCACCTGGGGGGTAGGTCAGCCAGCCGATCTCCGAGGTCTCTCCTGTAGTGTCCAGCAGTACCTCTGCCCAGACAGAAAGGGACACACAGTGCCAGCAGCAGCCACTCCATCCCCAAGGGGAACCAAAGACTGTCCCTCCCTGGTCCATTTCATTGGATAGCAGGAGCTCAGCTGCCACCAGGACCCTGTCCCTGGAATACTGACAAGGCCCTCACGATCCCCAGGCTGTCGTTCCTCCAGGCCTTCACTCTTCTCTGCCTTTCTGGAACCCTCACCCTGCCCACTACAT